GTAACAAAGAGGTGGGTTTCGGTTCTTTCTGTGCCCTGATATTTTGTGTATTATTGAATTATCTAAGATTTGATGGGATTTATCAGTATGTAGATAGCTCTATAATGTTTGAATTGTACACTTCTAGGTGTGCAGTGCAAGAGCTTGTTTATATTTCATACTTTTTAGACTTTGAGGAAAAAAAGTTAAAGAAAAACTGTAGTATCTGAGAAAAAATTAAGTGACCAAGTAAAGGATAGAGTTAAAAACAGCCTCATGAGACTTGGCGTCCACACTTATGGGATTCCAGTTATTAGGATATGACTTGCTTCCATTTTCCTCTCCTCCTATCCCCCACCAATGGTTTTCTTTGCAAGCGCTTTTGGAACTAAGAAGCTGGTGTCTTGGCTTAACTGGTCGCTGCGGGTGCTTTCTGATTACTTGCATCTGTTTCTTGCTTTAAAGGAAAGTAAACACAAGACTGTTGGACCAGTATTACAGTTCTGTAGTGTCATTTCTTATTAAAAAATAATAGTTTGATTACTAAAATTGGTGTATATATTAAGCCTAACACCATTCTAACAAAAGCTTCAATTTCTTTTTTAAAAATTAAGTGATAGAAACCTATAAGGAAGTAACTACATTAAAGACAAAAGTCATAAATACTCAAAATATTACTTCCTAATTATTTCATTCTATTTTGTGCTCGCCTGGGTCCGTGAGGTGGTTCATGTTTGAGATGGTTTCTGTACAATGGAAGTGCTACACATCTCTTCTCAGCTTCTGTTGAGTGATGTCAGAGCAACAGCTTAAAACTAGCTGTGGGGTTATTTCACCTAGGAAATTAGCAAATGCTGCATACCAGGGCTTTTTCTTCAGGAAGCCTGTTGTTAAACATTTGTCAAGCTGCCCCTGCCCACTGCAGCGGGGAATGTAGAGTTCACCCAGTCAGAGAGAAGCCAGTGTGGTTACTGGGGGGCTGCCTGAGTGGGGGACAGAGCCAGGCTGCCTGACCTAGTGCTGGGTTCTAGTATAGCTGGGCCCTCTGATTTAGTAGATGACGTTTCAGGACAGGGAAAGCTCATCTATTAGGTTAGCAGCCTGTGAAAATGTTTAATCTGAATTTCTCAAACAATTGAGAAGAGGTGTAGGGCTTATTGCTTCATGTTGGAGGGCCTGCCTAGCACGTGTGATGTCCTGGGTTCCAGCCCCAGCACACCCCTCCCCTGCAGCATGCACACATATCAGAAGAAAACCGAAATAGAGTAATAATAAATATATTATTATGGATTTTGCTCATCTTTGTACAATGCAGTCATAAAATATAATTTTTACTCTCGTTTCAGTCTATGATCAGTTGGCTCTATGCTTTTGGGCTTGGGATGACATAGCCCATCATGGTGGGAAGGCAGATGGAGGAAACCATTCACCTCCTGAGTCCAGGAATGAAAGAAAGAGAAAGAAGAGACCCACAATCCCCTCTAGGGCATGGTCCCAATGACCTAAGATCTCCTACTCTACTACCTCCCAGTAGTGCCATTGGCTGGGGACCAAGCCCTTAACATAGCGGCCCTCTGGGGACATTCCAGGACATTCCAGGACTGCTGGCCTTGATACCCAGCAGCCAGTGATGAGCTTGGGGGAATTTGTGTGGGAGGAAGGCAGAAACAGAAGAGAGAGGGGTGGAGGGGCCATGTGCTAGACTGGCAGAATAGAAGGCAAGCTGGTTTCCTTTTTTCCATGCATCATTGCTTTCCTTTTATGTATTTGTTTATTTAATACCCCTTTTTCCTATATTCCCATTCCCTATCCTGGACCAGGAACCATTCTGATTTTTTTCAAAATGAGTATTGTTTGGCATGCCGGTGTTTTTAATGTGTGCAAACGATATTATAGTAATCTGTCCCACTTCTCGTATTTCCGCTGAGAGATATGTTGTTAAGCTCTACCCCTGACGCTGCATGGATCCTTACTAACTCTCAACTGGTCCTTTCAATGATGGACACCCAGTGCAGGGCCCCCAGCTCACTCCACCTTCTCTCTTTGTCCTGAGAAACACAGCATGCCTTGACAGCTCTGAGAGCCTCCAGCTGCATGTCTCCCTGCAGGCTTGAATACAGGCAGTGGTCTCTAACAAGCCCAGCCACTGATACACTTTTTTTTTAGGTTGTTGCCTGAACCGCTGAGAGATCAAGCATGTCGCTAAACCCATAGAAACTATTCAACTCCCTTAAGGGCCCAAATTCCTTGAACCCCATGTATACTTCAGAACCAATACCTCATCACCCTGGTGTTCAATGCTTCTCTCTGGAATCCCAGCCAGCCCTATCTGCGTGGTTTGGGACAATCCCTTAAGGGAATTCTTCTGCCTCTGTTTTGGGGCAACTCCAGCCACACAGAACACCAGTTGATTTGCCATCAACTCCCACCCACCACAGTCAAAGAATGCAGCGCACGTCATCAGTCACATCTCTTCTGGCCCTGGAGGAACATGTCTTTGGGATCAGTGTCCAGGAGCAGGAAGGCCACTTGTACAGACAAATTCTTTCTGCAGGCAGCTAAGGTGGCCTGGGCCCTGCCTACCTGCTGCCATGTGTCCCTGCCTTTGGCAATATCTAGCTTTCCTACAGTGGCCAGTTTAAGGGACACAAGGCAATCCCAGCAATTCAAGGTGTAGCTGATTCCTAAAGATTTTAAGTGTGGCTTCCTATGCGAACTCGTTTCCTCTTATGGAACTGTTGAACGCCTCAGCCCATTTTTCTCTATTTGGCTGTAGTCCTTGGTTTGAGCCACAAGACTGCTACTGCTGGTTGGCTTTAGGAGTTGGAGGCACCTTTCCTGGCACCTGCCCGTTAACATCCTCATGATTGCTCTATTAAATAGAAAGCTTCAATTCTGGTGGAATTAAATGTATCAGTCTGGGGTCTGATGTGTTGTGGGTTCTTTCTTTGTGATATTGGGGGTTGAACATGGGCTTTCACATTGAGCTACATCTCAGCCCTTTTGAAGTTTTGAGACAGGGTCTTGCCAAGTTGTCCAGGCTGGGCTCAAACTTGTGATCCTTTGCCTCAGTTCCCAGAGTGCTAGATTATAGATATTTTGTGAATTTTTGTTTGAGAGGTCCTTCCTTGTCCCTAGATCGCAAAATACTGCCCTGCAGTAACTTTGTAGTTTTGCCTTCTCTCTTAGACCTTTAATGTGCCTGGAGCACACCTGTGTGTTTGGGACAGTACACATATTGTTTCATTTGAGCCATTTTTCAATGCCATCAGCAGACAACCTATGTTTGTTGGCAGTGCCACCTTTGTTATTATTTGTATGAGTCTACAGCTGAGTGCACTGTTCTGTTCCATTTTTTCCCCTTCCTATCCCTGCAGTTTCCATGTAGGGTTTAGCACTCTGACCTTGTAAATATCTTTTCATATCTAGAGGTCAAATCTTCCTCCTGTGCCTGCTTTCATTAAGACTGACAGTAATTTGAAGTTTCTATACTTTACATATACATTTTAGAGTACATTTTTGGAGAGTCTAAAAAATGAAATCAACTGGAATCATTACTGGGATTGCATTGAATTAAGAGATTAATTTGAGAAAGATTCAGATCTTTTAATATTAAGTCATCTGAGAGCATAGAGCAAATACGTCTTCTTATTTCCTGTATGTTTGTGATGTTGTAATAAGAACACTGGGGAGGAAGACATGACAGAAAGAGAGGAAGCAGAGGCTCTGGTGGAGAGGGACCATTCTGCTGTTCACTGATAGCCACTCCCAGGTGAGGACCAGACAAATCTCTGGCTCAGTCATGTTCATTCTGGGCCAGGGGACAGACACTGGGCTGTCCAGAGCCAGAGTCTCAGGAAGATTTTTCCCTTTGTGCACCCAGCTCTACAGGCCAGGAGGTGAGGCCTGGCCCTGGGCAATTCGGAGCAGCATGGAGCGGGAAGGAGGACACAGGGCTGTTCTCAACCGGGATGGTGCCCCCTCCTTGGTCACTGGTGCTGCCTGGCGATGATGGGAGCTCTGTCCATCAGCCCTGGCCTTGGAGCCTTAAGCCCTCTCAGCCACTTGTGCAGTGACCCAGGCCATTCATCCCCGGCCTTGCCCTCAAGTGCAGAGCCAGCGAGAAAATTGTTGGATGCCTCCCAGTCTACACTGGGAAACTCAGCTGACTGGAGTCTGTGTTCTGGTCAGTCCTGCATCCTACCCAGCATGTCTGGCAAAGCTGCAGCCCAGGCCTCTCCTGAAGCTCGGGGTGGAGGCCAGGGGATAGTCTGGGGAGAAGAGCTGGCCATGGGGAGGAGCCTGGCCCCAGCATCAGCCCAGCCTCAGGAGGGGCTTTGGTTGGGCAGGGTGCTAGGCCTCCTTTTCCACAGTGCCTCCTCTGAGCCAAGGGGACAGGGTGAGCCAACCAGTTCCTGTTGAGTGAGTGCTGAGTGCTTTGTTTGCATCACATCCCTTAATGTTCTTAGGATGAAGCAAGGACTTTATTATCCCTATTTTAATGGAGGGGGCAAATGAGGCTTGGGGAGGAGGGGACAGGCCTAGGGTCATGCAGCTCCTGAGCAGCAGAGCCAGGACCTAAAACCAGGCCTGTTGCACTGACAGGGACACCTGTTGCTTGGATTACTCAGGTCATTGACTCGGAGACTTCAGGGTAAGGAAGCCGAGACCTTCAGCATGAGAAACAGATGTCTGCAAAGATAAGTCCCCAAAGGCACCCTTTTTGTCCACAAAAACACTGAGGTCCAATCGACACAGTGTCCACACCCCAGGATTTCCCTTCCAGGAACACAATGGCTTGTGCAAAGCACACGGCCTTCCTGTCCCATCGCTTCAGGGCCCTGTTTGCTGGAAGGAAGGAGGGAGAAGGGCGGTGTCCCTCCAGTGGACCTCTGACCCCTATTCCCAGAGAGCAGTCCACAGCGTGGGGGGCTGTGGGGATCATCTGAGAAAGACAATAACTCCCCTCCTGTAGAGTCCACAGTGACCCTGGAGAGGGTGGCTGGGCAGTTGGGCAGAGAGGTAGGCAGCAGGCTAAGGCCAGAGTGGGTACGAAAGCTTGTGGGGAGGGGACAGATGCTCTCCTGGCTGCAGCTGTCGCTCTCCATGTCCATCGAGTCTCTGTCCGCCCTCCTGTGCATCTCTCCTCTAGCTCTACTGTTTCTGCTGCTTTTTGCTTCCTACTGGGAAACGGTCTGCAGTTAGGAAAGGAGGCCCAGCTACTGGAAGCGATGCCCCCTAGCTGGGTGTGGCTTAATTTACGGCCCTGACAATACATCCATCTGCTTAGCCAGCAAATATGAGTATTTATTGAAATAACTGTGCCAATTTGGCTTGACATGGGCCAGCTCTGGGTTCGGGCTGGGCTGGAGTGGTAAGTGAGGCTGCCCAGGTCCCTGCTTGGGAAAGGAATGTCCACCCTCTGCCCAGCAAGCATCTTCCCCATTGCCCCTTGACCCCACGCACTGAATGGATGGGTGTGTGGGCTCTGGGTCCATTGCTTCTGCCTCCCACGACAGCAGATCAGAGGTCCAGCCACCCACCTGGCAGTCAGTTGACACACACACCTCAGGGAGCACACACACTAGGTGGCAATCTCTGAAAATCATTGTCCCCAGGCCCCTGGACGGCGGCAGCCACCAGAATGGTAGGGTTTCTTCCATGAGGATGGGCACTAGTGACTGGGCAGAGACTAGGATCAACCCCAAACTAACTTCTAGTTTGCAACTCCTGGTGCCCCAGGGGTCAATGACCTCTTGAATACCCTCCAGGGGGACAGACAGCCAGAAGGCAGAGTTGTGACAGGGAGAGGAGGGGGAAAGGCTGGGGACTCCTTCAAGGGGCTGTGCCAAACAGACTCACTCTCTGGGCTCAGGCCCCTGCTGAGGCCAGAAGGTGGGCAATGGCAGAGAGCCAGAGGGCTGTGCTATGCAGGCAGGACAGGAGGATGGCGACGCTTTGTTGGTGGGAGTCTTGGGGCCACAGGAACTTCAGTCTCTTACAAACCTGAAGTTGTGGACTCTCAGGCCCACAGACATATCTGGCTGGGACATTTGAGGCCACATGGTCCAACCTGGTCCCCGTCACCTCCCTCTGCAGCCACAATGTACAGAGAAGGAAACTGAGGCCTAGAACAAGGCGGGGAGCCACTGATGCCACACAGCGAGCCAGAGCTGATGAGAGCAGGGTTGCACCTCCTACTCGTGTGACACGGAGTGGGCCTGGTCCAGGCGGGCAGTGGTGCCAGAGGAGGATGTGGTGCTCCAGCTTGGGAAATAGAGGATGGTGAACCAGCAGAAGATGAAGACACCTGGGGTGGAGAGAGGAACCCGGTGAGTCCAGGGAGTGTAGCAGGGTGCTAGGTAGCCTGGTTGGTGGCTACTGAGGGTGGAAAGGCTCTACTGTAAATGTTCAAAGACTTAGGGGCAAAAAACCAGGCAAAAATAAAATCTACCCCTATAAGAAAAAAACACAAATTTTGGAAATGAAAAACAGAGATCTTGAAATAAAATATGTACATACAAAGCCTGATCCAAAAATAAGGTGAATGTTTAAAAAACATTTTAAGTGTATTACAGTAAAAGACATTGCCACGAATCCCCTCCTTCTGTCTCTGCATACGCTTATCGCATCATCCTTGCCACTTCAAAGCAGCGCTGGACATCGTCTTTTGTGCATGTCTCTATGAAATGTGATAAAAAAAATGACGAAAGCTACCGCTGACCACCACTCTATGGGAAAGCAGGCTTGTAAAAGCATTACAATGTGTCCTCCTCCACCTGACTCACTGGATCTGGCACTGTGTGACATCTGGGTCTTCTCCAAAGTCAAAATGATCATGAAAGGTAAACATTTTGAATCGATTCAGGGCATTAAGGCAGCCATGACAGCTCAAGTAAAGACAGGAAGTAGCAAGAATGATGGGATAAGTGTGTTCAAAGTGAGGGGGAAGCATTTTGAGGAGGATTAATGACAATGTGGGGTTTTTTCCTGCTTAAAACACTTACGGTTTTTCGATCTCACCTCATACATCTATCTCAGAAAAGAAAGAGCAAAATAAAGGAATTTTCAGACCTACAAAACCACCACCACTACCACAGTGGGCTTTTTCACTCTTCCTCTATAAAAGGTTACTACAGGATGCATTTCAGCAACAAGAGGGAAGGTGTAGGATATAGGGAATTAGAGAAAGTACAGATGTTGACTGGGAAAGAAAATGTGTATGTTTAAAGGAAACTCATAACTAGAATGCTACACAACAATAACAATATTGAGAAGTGTTCCATGGGCAGTTAAAATGTATCCGGGGCTCTATTGGGAAGAAACTAGAGATTCCAAATAATCTGGACTCAGTTGAACCTTAACTAAATAGAGTGATGCATACAGGCTGAAATATTAAAGTAACTTCTGCAAGAATATAATCCATAATTTCAAGATATATCTCTCCCTAACCCTTAACCAGTGAGACTTTCCAGACATGGACTCAGGATTCTTTAGCTGGCAACAGCCTTAGATGGCCCCAAAATAATCATTTCTATTGCTATTAGTATAGTTCCTACATACCAAAGACCTACTTGGTCCTGCACATGCATAATTAGTTATTCATTATGAAACCTGGAGAGATAGGAATTGAGATTGTCCTGACTTTAGAGACGAGAAGGGGCCGGGTATCCGACTCAGCTGGGAGAGTGCTTGATCTGCATGCTCAGGGCCCTGGGTTTGAGACCCAGCACCAGAGTGGGGTGGGGGATGAATGAGGATCAGAACTGTTGAATAACTTGCTGGAATGGTGGGTGGAGCTGGGAATTGAATCCACATCTGCCTGGCCCCAATCACCATGCACACAGTGTCATGGAGGCACTGGGAGCCAGCCTTGGACTTGTGAGTTTGTATACACTGCATCTAGGATGGCTGAGTTCCTAGTGAATGCCCCAGGCAGGATGAGTCTTATCACCCTCTTCTTACCTGTTACCCTCACAGTCAGGCGGATGCCTTTTTGAGGTGTGTGTATGTGAATAAGGGATCAAGGAGCAAAGACTATAGGTGTGGAAAGGAAATTGTGACCCACTCTCTGGGCTCCTCCTCCTTTCCTGGGATCTCAGAGGAAGGAGGAGCTGGGCCAGTTAAGAGACACAACAATCATCCCATTCCTCCCTTACCATTCCTTAGAAACCCTATCCTGTGGGCATCAAATCACCTGACCTTGCCATCCTAGTCATATCCGATTGGACTAGAGATGGCCAGCTGACTTGCAAGATCATTTAGAGGCAGCCATGTTGGGTAGCTACTTGGGGCCATGGTAACAATGGGAAAGGATGAGAGAATGAAGGTGTTTCCACAGACACCCAATGAGAGACAACACACAGCTTCAAAACAAAAGAGCGGGGAAGAATATACTTTGGTTTGGGTGGCTTTTCCTGATTCTGGTATTGGCCTCTATGAATCAGCTATTCTTGATGCCCTGGACCCTAAGAGAGTCTCAGATAGGTAAAATCAGTACCCCCGACTTGCACTAGCCTCTATGGAATCCTCTTTGTTGCAAACACCCTCTTGTCCAACTCCAAGCAGCCCCTGAGGCAGACAGGTAGCCCATGGCCTCCCTGGCCCCGAGCCTCACCTTGCAGGGAATTGAAGAAGGCGAAGATATAGATGGTGGATGGGCCTAGTGGTGTGAGGATGGCCAGCCCCCAGGTCATGCCCACCAGACTCGAGAGGCCCAGCACGGTGAGGACAGCCTTCCATTTCTGTCCTCTCTCCTTGCCCGCTGTGGCACTAGACAGAGTGAAGATCTTCCAGGCCACCAGGGCCAGCACCACAGCACCAAAGAGGAAGGTGATGAAGAAGTAGCCATGGACGGTGGCATAGAGGGCAGATTCGTTCTGGAACCAACACCTGGAGGAGGCAGATGACCACAGGGACTGAGAGAGGACACCCCTAAACAGCAAGCCCCGGAAGGCTCCCCAGCTGACATTTTGGGACCAAGAAGATGCTTTCTTACCAATTCTACCCATATGCCCCTGCTTTCCAACTGGACAAGAAGCCAGCCTGGTGTCTGTAGACAACAGGTGTAAAAGAGCTGAATCAACCCAAGGGCCTGCTTCATTTGCCCCACATCATGCTGTAAAACTCCTAAATTAGTAGCCACATCTGAAAACAGAAGGCTGTTTTGTGCTTCTCTTGATAGTGACTGGCAGTCCTTTCGTTGGACAGGTGACCTCCAATCTACTGTAGTGCTCTCCTGGTCACCACAGGTACTTATGCAACCTATGTGGCCTCCATGGATCCTGCATTTGAGGTCTTAGAGACATGTACAAGGCTCCAGTAGCCCCTTGTAGCACAAAGCCATGGGCCCAATGGTGAGCACCCTAGGAAATGACTGGGTGGGAGCCTGGGGCTCAGCCCAGCTTCGCTGCTCCCTGTACTGCAGGCTAAAAGGGCTGAAAGGCCCTGGCCATCGTCTCCCCTATTGTACAGATTAGGAGACTGAGGCCCAGGAGAGGCCAGGCTCTCCCAATACACACCCGTAGTAGTCAGGAGAAAGACTGGACTGCTGAAATTATTGGGCAGGTTGTGCCCCACCCAAGGGCACCTGAACTCCAGCTTGCCCTCAGTTACCAGGTTGAGTGCTGGGCATAGGGAAGGAGTCACTTTTTTTTTTTTCCCAAAGGTGCCTTTATTTATTTTGCCTCCTCTTCCTGGGCCCTCTCCCATTTCACTTCCTCTCTCCAGGTCTCATCTTACACCCTTGTGTCCAAAGCTAGCTAGATCTGAAGAGTGTGGCTTTTATACTCTTCTCCCACCTCCCTCCAGCTCCAGGGTGTGAGATGGTTTCACCTTGCTCCCGTGGTCACCACTTACAGCTCCAGAGATGTGCGGTTCTCCTGGTCACGGATGGCATAAAGGCCATAGCTGTTGGCACTCCCAGTGCCAATGACCACTAAGGCAGGTAGGCCTAGGCACAAGGAGAACAAGTGGGCATTGCCAGGGCATCCTGGGCATGCCCTCCTCCAAATCCCCTCCAGCTGCCCATCCCTCGAGCCCTGCACTCATCTGAGAGGGACCCTCCTGCTGCCCAAGGCCATCCAATGCCTCTGCCTGCCAAGCAGCACCCACCCCAGCCCGCGAGGCTCAGCTTCAAGAAGTAGTGGCTGAAGTAGGTGTTGAAGACCCTGATGGACAGTAGGTAGAGGTGAAAGGCTTCCAGGCCCATCCAGGTGAAGGTGCAGAGCAGGCAGTAATGGAACACAGCACCCCGGGCCCAGCAGGTGGCACTGGACCCCTGTAAGCCGCTCCCCATGCTGACCAGGAATGTGAGGTTCAGGAGGAACAGGCTGCTGCTCAGGGACACGTGGATCTTGGGGGCATCTTCTGACTTGAACCTCTGCAGGGAGAGCCTGGGGCGAGAAGGGTCAGTGGGGGCCCACTCCTGTCCATGCCACCATCTCAGTTTCACCCCAGCATCCCCACTGCCTGATCATCTAGCTTCTGCCCCTTCCAGCAGCCCAAGTATGAGCCCCCAGGTTCAAGTCCAGGAGCTGTCTCATGGCGCCGCCATCCCTGTGGCTCCTGGTCCTGCCAGTGTCATTGCCTGACTCCAGGAGTTAGCCACCTGCACAGCCTGCCATTTCCTCAGTGCCTTTTGCTTTCTTATGCCTCCCAGATGGGACACATTGCTCCCACTGTTTTCAGTGCCTTTTCCTGATCCTTGGCTCTGCCCCTTCTTGGCCTTCCCAACTTCTACATTGCCTTCCCAACCCCCTGGGACATTTCCTTCTTGGGAAACTGTCCCTGAATGCCCCAAAGTCCATGCTGATTTGGACGTTCCCAGCAGTGCTGTAGAACCATATTCTCCTCTTGCTACCATCTTTCTGTGAACTCAGGGCCCCAGCACAGTGGGTAGGAGGGCCCTGGATTCATTGTTTGGGTGATGGGGTGGACACAGGATGGGTGGATGAGGCTTAGGATGTAGTAGGAATGGAGAATCAGTGACTTTGAGAGTCACAGAGCCTCGGGCCACCTCTCTCTCTACCCAGTGCTCATCTCCCTCCCCAAGGAGCCCTCTCTCTAAGTTCCTTACAAATCAGATCCCATGGGACTCATTCAAGGGATGGGAGCCTGGGGCGGCCCAGAGGAACATAAGGGACAATGTCACCCTCACCTGAGATGCCAGGCCCCACCCTTGGGAGCTGGTGACACTTCCGCCTGGTGGTCCAAGCCCAGCTCACAGGGTCCAGCAACGCAGCCAGCTGGCAAGTGGTGCTCAGCTTGTTGGGGCTGGGGATGGTGTCGCAGGCCAGAACTCGGAGGGGGGTGGGTGGGGCAGCACCACTCACTCACAGGTGCTGGTCTGTGGTGGGGGTGGGAGGGCTCATGGGGCTGCAGCCCAGGGCTGCACCATGACAGAGGCACAGAGGCATGGTGGGGACAGAAGGAGCCCCAGACCGAGAGACAGGTGGGGCTAGGCAGGAGTGGGGGACATGCAGGCTAGGTTGGGGTGCTGCTGTCAGGTCCTGGGGCTCCTCAACCGGGACAGGGATTGGGAGAGCAAGGCGACAGTGCTCGCTGCTGTTCCTGTGTGTCCTGCACCTGCTCCCCACTCGACACGGCCCCAGGTGACCGTGAAGAACACCCCTCCCCATGCTCAGCCATGAGGTGCATGGGGCGGCAGTGGTCACTTCTGTGCCAGCTCCACTCCAGAGAGCAGGCATGAGCTGGGCCTGGCCAACAGTGCCGCCTTCCCCTTACTGTGTGGCTGTGGGCAAGGGCTGGTCCCAGGCAGAACTGTAAAACCCCACTCTGCTGTGTGCATGGATAAACTGCACACCCACACAGCTGGCCAGTGTCATGGATGTGTGGCTTCTGCAGGGCCCTGGGCTTACCAGGGCCCTAGTCTTGCTTAATACTTTGCTACCACCATCCTGACATTCTGAATCATTTCACTGTTGTTATTGTTTTGTAGTCCTGGGGACTGAATCCAGGGCCTTCACCCTGAGCTATATCCCCAGATTTTTTATTTTTCACTTTGAGACAGGGTCTCACTAACTCACTAAGTTGCCCAGGCGGGTTTCAAACTTGCCATTCTCCTACCTCAGCCTCCCAGAGAGCTGGGATTACAGGTGTGCACATCCTGCTTGTTATTGGTTTTTGAGACTGGGTCTCACTGTGTAATCCGGGCTGGCCATGAACTCCCTATGTATTCCAGGTTGAGCTCAAATTTACAGTCCTCCTGCTTTAGCCTCCCAAGTACTGGGATTACAGCTTGTACTACTGCACCTGGCCTGGAATAGTATTTGTACAAGGAACCATGTATTTTCATTTTGGGCTGAGTTCTACAAATTATGCCCCTACTCCTGTACACACACACACACACACACACACACACATGGACTTATATTTAAAATGGAAAGAGGTCTGCACTCCAGTTGGGAGGACTGCATCGCTGTCGACACCCTGGCCTTGATAATGTGCTACGTTATAGAAGATATCACCACTGGGGGAAGTTGGGAGAAAGGACTATGGACCCTGTGCTATTTTTGCAATTTTCAGTTCCTCTACAATTATTTAAAAAATTTTTTTAAATAAAAGACATCTCAATCCTGGGTTTATTATATTTCTGCTTGAGCACCTAAGGAGCTGTGAAATGAGTCTGGATCTCCCAAGGGCCCGAGTGTGAAGCCGGCTGACGTGACTGACAGAGCAGAGGGCAAAGCTGGGAGAGGTGGACGCCAGGTCCTGCAGACTTCTTCTGAGGCCCTGGATTCCACCCTGCCTGAAGTCCATTCACCTTGGGTTTTTCAGTTACGTGAACCACATATGCCCTATCATGGTAAGCCAGACTGGGTTGGGTTTCTGCCACTTGCAGCAAAACAGCCATGACACACTCGACCTCCAACCCTGCCCTGTCAGAGATGACATAAGGAGTGGAGAGGATATCACTACCAGGTCCAGAAGAGGGCGCGGAATGGAGACAGGGTCACCCACCTGAGAGCGATGTAGAGAATGATGGCAAAGATGAGGAATATCATGGACACCCCGCAGCCAGCCTGGGAGATGCGTGTAAGGACCTCCACGGTAGCCCTATCCAAGATTGGCCTCTGTGGATGAGCCCCGAGTCAGGACCACATCAGCCGGGGGCCAGGCCCATGCACCCCAAGGCCCTGGCCCCAACAGGGAAGCCTTCCTGGGTCAGGGACTGGAAGCCTGCAGGACTGCTAGGCTAGGGGAGGGGCTGTTACCAGCAGCAGGGCGAAGAAGGTCAGGTGGTTGCAGCTGCACACAGTCTGCTTGGCTCCCAGCTGGGTGGAGCAGCCCCTGGAGGCCCAGTCTCCCGTGGGCCCTGGATGGGGGAGGAACATAGAAGAAGGACGAGGAGGGGTCCTCCAGAGCCCATACCCTCCTCCTGTCTACCCCCAGAGAGTTCCTCCGGGCCCTACCTTGAGTCACATCCCAGAACATACAGGTGAGGGTCATGTTCTGAAACCAGAAAGTGAAGTCTCAACCCGGGTGGGTGGAGGGCGGCCTAGCCTGCACGAGCCTTGGGTAGACCACTCTGCTGTGGATGCGTAGGAGAGGCTGCTGCATCCATTGATTTACCCTGGCCCAAAGTGCATCGGGGTGCTAACGCCGTGTGGAGTTGTGAGGGGCATTGCAGGTCAGTTTGCACATCTGTGAGCGTTATGCAGGTGGGTGTGGGATGTAGTGTGCACACAGGTGGGTTTGCCAAGTCCTCACCTACACTTTTCTGAGCACAGGAGCGTGAATGGGTGCGTGCGTACATGTGACCTGGGGGGCTGTGTTCCTGTGTGTATGGCCCTGGTGGCTGTGGAAAGGCAGAGGGCACAAGTTCCCATGTATGTCTGCTCTGCCTGGGTCAGAGACTCACAGGGGGGTAATGCTGGTGGGAGAAGACGATCTCCAGAGGATCTGACAGCCCAGTGACAGGTGCTTGGCCCACACTCAAGCCCACCACGTGGTTGTTCAGCACACTGCCATCCTCTTCCTGAAGGAGCCTAGGGCCCTGTAAGGGAAACGGGAAAGCCCAGGCTGTAGGAAGAGCTGCACTGACCCACTCTGGCTGGGGGGGACTGGGAACCCACAGGACCTGTGACCCTTTCCTGGAGGCAAAGTCTGAGGCTACAGGGCCATTGGGATGCATAGCAACCATCTCCCTGCTACTCTCTGTAGTATCCCACTCAGGCTGGGCCAACCCCTGTGCTCCAGATCAACAGGTTGCAAAGCCGCGTTCCTGATGGCATCGCATTGCTGTCTTCCAGAGGGTTTCTCTTCCCTCTTAACTGCAGAGCACAGGGCTAAGACCAGCCTGGAGACAGGAGGCAGAGGGGGCCTACATGTCCTGGGTACACATATCTGCCCAGGAGGGGATGTGTCCCATTTGCATGGCTATACATGTGCTTGCTCACATGGACATGTTCACACCTGAGCACAGGCAGAAAAGGACATTCATGTTTGTTCATGCACAAGAACACACGAGGGTACCGGAACAGGCTTGGTGCCTACACGGAAGCCAGGTGGTGAGGGGCACTGGCATGAGGTGCCAGTGTGAGCTTGCAGAACATGGACTCCAGAACCAACTCTGGGATGACTGGGCTGCTTTGAGGCAGTCTTGGAGGCTCAGCATCGCCTCCTCCCTCCTCACTGATCCAGAGTCTCCAGCAGGGGCTGTCTGAGGTAGGGGACCCTGGTGAAACTAGCTTTGACTCTCACAGCTTCCCTAGGTCCCAGCAGGTCTCTTCTCACCTTGAAGATGTTCCCCGAACCGATTTTCAGAACAGTTATAGCCAAGCGCACCATGGACCTGTTGCCCGGCAGGGATCCAAAGAAGCTCTTGGGAAGCCGGACTCTGTCAGAGGGCTTGTCCTCATCCTTCATCACCTGCCTCGGGATCTGCAACCACAGACCCAGGTGTTCCGGTCTTTACCCAAGGATTCTAGCCCTCAACACAGGTCCCGCCATTGCCCCAGCTGAGACAGAAAACTGAGGCAGCTGGGTGGAGGGGCAGCACCTGGGGACTGTCAGCTCTGAGAGGTTCGGTACAGGGCTCAGTCCAGGCTCTGCTCTGGGCCCAGGGACAAGTTACAGCACATATGGACTCCACCCTTCCCATAGTGGAGAACAGAGCTAACCATGTGCCCGGGTGGCCACCTGCCAGGCTGAAAGGAGCTGTGGAGAGATGACACCCAGGCAAGCTCAGTTTGCAAGAGGGTCAACTGTGCCATGCTTTGGATGTTAAGGTCCTAACAGCCCTTGTGTTAGCAAAGGGCTTGATGGAGGTGGTGTCTGGCTTCTGCCTTGGAAATAATGGAAAGAACAAAATTATTAGAAAGAAATTCAGGAAGGGAAATGAAAGGGACATAAGAATTCACATGGAATGTGAAATCGAACAGTAAATGTTTTAAAAATTAAGAATAGTCAACATCTTAAAATAAGCCTCAGCAGTAATCACAAAGCATGTTTTGTTCATCTCGTCTCCCTGGTTCTCCTAGGGCTGCATCCTGCTCCTGCCTGGTCTTGGCCTCAGAGGAATCCTGTGCGCACATTGGACCAGGGGAGCTAAGAGTCAGATCTAAAGAGCTTGACTTTCTCCTTCTCAGTCCAGCCCTTGTCAAAAGGGCATGTGGGTGATTTCTGGGTCCAGTACACACCCATGCAGTGGGCTCAGCTGGCTGGCTGATATAATAATAAAGGGCTGAGAAAGGGCCTCTCTTCCAGTTCCCCTTCTCCAGACATACTTACAAGGACCTTGATAATACACAGCTTACCTGGCTGCCTGGATCTCCACTCTCAGGTTCATTTCCCCAGGGAGGCTAGAAACTCACTGAGTCCGCACTGCACCAGGAATTTCCTGTGCGCTATCTCACTTGATCCTCCAATCATCTCGGACAGGGGTGATACCTCATCATTATGCAGGTGAGGAAGCTGGGGCTCAGAAAAAGTAATTTGCTCCCATTCGCAATGGCTGAGAGGAGGAAGAGCTGGAATTTGAATCTGGACCAATGTAAATGCAGGGTCCTCTTGTTTAGCCCTTTAGTTGCCAAGTGTGCCCTTTCCTTGGTTTCAAATATGCTCCCCAGGAAGAACAGCTCATTGGTATTTTAGAGTTGGAGGAGCCTATGTGCTGAGTTTACAGATAAGGACTCCAGGGCACAAAGAAGGAGCGGGGTTTCCCAGAGGATACCTAGTGTAGTGGTGGAAAGGCCGGAACTAGATAGCATACAGGTGCCCTGACCACAATCCACTGACTTCCTAGATATCTATACCAGTACCTGGATCACCTATGCCTAGGCTCTGCTTATTCACTTAACCCTGTTGAATGGGACATGGGAAGGTTAAGCATGATGGGCACCAGGACAGTGTGTAGCTCTTAGAGTTATAAAACAAGGGCAGAATCTGAATCAGCCAATGGGCATGGGGAAGGAAGCCTTCACCTGACAGGGCTTCAGAGAGAAGAGCAGGTCTTCTGAGGTGTCGATGCTGATGTTCTGGACCAAAGACTTCACGAAAGGTCTGTCCACTGTCTCCAGTGAATTTTCCACCAGGTAGGACTCATAATGTAGCCAGTGCCTGCAAGGGAAGGGGTCAGGCATCAGAGAGGTAGCATCTTGCAGGCTGAGATATCCACTGACTAGGCTGTTCTAGGGAGAGGGTTGACTCAGAACATCAAAGCTTGAACTCACTGCAGGAGGAAGCAGGGTGGCTTGGGAGCCAGGTTGGCCGTGAGGGATTTGGCTAAGGTCCCTCTGAGCCTCTTATGTGTGTATTTTTTCTTTTCTGTGATAAAATATATATATAATAGAATTTTCCATTTTAAAGTTCAACTCCATGGCAATAAGTACATTGACAATGCTGTGCAACCATCACTACTAACTACTACCAGAATATCTTCATTACCCCAAAGGAAACCCATACCCTTTATTTAGTCACCCCTTCCCCTTTCTCCCAGCCTTGGGTATACATTGATTCTGCTTTAAATCTCTGTGATTTACTCTACATATTTCATATAAATGAAGTCATTTGTGGCCTTTGGTGTCTGGCTTGTTTCACTTAGCACAATGTTTTCAAGGTTCATCCATGTTGAAGCATGTGTCATTGTTTTATTGCTTTAATGGGTGAATGCAATTACACTGTGTGGATACGCCACATCTCGGGGGTGCATCCATCTGTTGATGGACATTTGGGTTCTTTTTACCTTCTGGCTACAGCGAATAGTGCTGCTGTAAAACTTCACATACGAGCTTTTATCTGAAGACTTGTTTTAAGTGCCTTTGAGTGCATGCCTGGGAGTAGAACTGCTGCACAACATGCAAATTCTATTCCTAACATTGTAAGGAGCTGTCAAACTGTTTTCCACAACACCTACACCGTTTTACACTCACACCAGCAAAATATGAGGGTCCAAATTGCTCCACACCCTTGTAACCTCTTACAGTGTCTCACTTTTTGTTTTGTTTTAATTTAATTGTACCCACCTTTGTGGGTGTGAAGACGCATATCATTGTGATTTTGATTTGTATTTTCCTAATGACCAGTGATGTTGAGTATCTTTTCATGTGCTTTTTGACTTTGTAGCTCTTATTTGGAAAAAAAATTTCTCCACACATAGTAGTGCATTTATTGAGTACTAGAAATCTAACTTTTGAAAACTGAGCCATGTGGGAAGTGATTGCATGGGAACACAGCTGCTGTGTCCTTTGCCAGCTTGAGGAAAGCCAGGAGCGCTCTCCGTGATGCTGAAATTCAACTGTCTACCACGTTCCTTTTCCCAGGCCCACGGGCTGAAGAATGCTGCCCAGCCTTTCCTAGCAATTGTGAAAAGTGACGGCTGAGGTAGCACCGGGAGAAAAGAGAACAAAGGGAGACACAGCTAGACTACAACTATGAGAAATGAGTAGCTAAGGAGGCAAAAGAGGAGCCTTTTAATTTGTCATCATTTGTGAATAATAACAGTTATCAAGGGGGGAAACAAACTCTAAAAAGATTACAGGAAATATATGTACAACCAAAACAGCAAGCCTTACAAATATTCTTGAATGGAAGAGACATAGAAAACCAGCCAGCCAGAAATTGAGACCAAATGATCCTACCTTTTATTTGCCTTTAAAATATCTAGGTGTGGAGATTCTGATGCTCTTATGTTTCCTTGGCATCTATTTTGATTTGGACTTTCCTATACCAGAAGTAGAGTTCACCTTGGACATAGTGTCCAGTTTCTCCACCACCTCCAAGTTCCTTCACATGCTTAATCCAGAAGTCTGCCTTATACACCTGTGCCTGGTGACCACTCCCTGTGGGACAGCTAAGATCAGCCTACTCACTGGCTCTCCTGGCTGCCATCCCCTGCATGAGCCATGCACATCTGACACTGAGGCATCTCTCTGTTACAGTGTGACTCAGCGGAGCTGAGGCCTATCTCCCTTAACCCTACCAATTAAAACTCCCTTTGGGAAGTGTTTGGATAATTCCCCAAGCCCCAGGAAAAGCTTTGGCCCATGGACCCTTCTTTTTTTCCCTGCCTGAACTGCCTGACTTATGCATATCTGTGGCCTCCAGGTGTGCCTTGTGCCCCTGGACCCCTAAGTGATATTTATCCATATCTTGTGTCCTTCTTAATTTTTGAAGGGCATTCTTCATCTTAAAGATCCTGAATCACAACATCAGGGTACTTTAAAAATTACTTCAGTTGTGAAAGACAACCTATATTCCACAAATTCAAAGCATAGATGTACAGTTGAATTATTATTATAAAGTCAACACTTGTGTATCATTTTCCTTGTCTGATTTAATATATTTACTCAGGTTTCTTTTGGCTAGTGTTTGCATAGTACCTATTTTTCCACATTGTGCCTTTTTTTCATAATAAGCAGTATGAGTTCAAAAGACTCATTTTTCACTTTGAAAAGATCTCTTCACATTCTCCAGACTTCTGAATGTTCAGAAAATTCACCGAGGTGATGGCCCCCTGAATTCTTATGGGGTTTATTTGACATATTTCATCCTAAAATACTTGCTGCTTTCTGCTCATCTGATCTAATCAGCACAATGCTGTGAATATAGGAGACAAAAGGGTTATTATGATTATAAAACAGATCACTCAAGGTGCTTGGCACAGCTTTTAAGTGAGAGAGCTGGGGACAAACCCCACATCTTCTGACCCCAGAACTCTGGCTTTTCCAAGATGCTACCCTAACCATGAAGCAGCATGAAAGGGGCCCACAGAATAGCTTCTGGGTGCTGAGAATTATTGGAGGGGATGAGGGCATTTTAAGCAGACTGGAAGAATGTGATTTAGTCAGATTGCTGTCCTAACACCAGGCCTGTGAGCACAGGGTTTTCATTCATTTCTTCAGCAAATAGTCAGTGAGCACCAGCCATAATCTAGGCACTTTTGTGGGCAGCTGGAGGAGTTGTGGGTCGGCAACTGCTACTAGAAGGGAGAGAAGCGGAGGGGACAGAGATACTTTTGGAGCTGACTCCTGAGATGTTGTAGACTGAAGCCTTTCTCCCTTGCCCCATCAACACCTGTCTCTTGGTCCTGTTGACCCCACATCATCTGACCTCCCCAGTCCTTTCCTGTCCAGGTGCACAGTACTCACTGCAGGTGGCAGTGTCATTCTGTAGTCACGCCCCATGCTCCTTCTGCATCTCCACCCCCGTATCCTTCCCTAAACCTCAGCATCTTTCCAAAGTGCAGAGTTAACCACACTCTTTCTAACCTTTGAATCTGTCATATCCTCGCTTCCTGGGGTTGGTCTAGCTTATACAACTGTCACTCCTTAGTCCCTGCTTGTATATCTATACTGTCCCTTACCTGTCCTACCTTGTCCCTTGTGGTCTCTGTCTCAGTACTTTATACTCTCAGGGTTCAAAGTATTGCAGTCCTCTGCAGTCGTGCTGCTGTATCATCTGCCATCGCCTGGAGCCAACTGAAAAACTGTGTACTCTTCAAAGTCCTTCTGTGGTTGCCTCCTCTGTGAGGCTTTGTCAGATTTCGCTCCTTGGCCTAAGCCAGCACCGTGTCTGCCCTTGTATGCTCATGTAACCGTCATCTCGGAGTGGAACTTTGAAGTTAGATTTTTTTTTTCTCTTAGAAATAAGCAACTCCTCCAAGCTTCCTGCTGCTGAGCACATACCCAACACCCCGTCTGTTCCTCAGCCTAGATAAAGTGACAGAATAGACAGCTGCTGGCCCAAAAGGCTGGAACTGTTATGAGACAGGGGGACAGTAAGGCTGGGGATTTGGCTCAGTGGTGCCACACCTGCCTGAAAAGTGCAAGGTCCAGAGAGCGAGAGAGAGAGAGAGAGAGAGAGAGAGAGAGAGGGCCTCTGATCCTTACTATGAGAGACCTCTGCCCACCTGTGCACAGTGAAATGGTGATTTGAGGCCAATGGGCCCCTCTATCTCCTTGAGTTTAGTTTTGAATAAGTTCTTTTTTTCTTTTCACCAAAATATCTGGTCTCCTTTTATGTGGTTGGCAGCAAGCAAATGAACCTGAATGTGTGAACCTAAGTGGTGGGCAACACACTCTGGAGTCATCACTGTTTGGCTTCTCCTCTGCCCCTCTACAACCCACAAGGACAGAGGCTGCTTTGCTGCTGTGTCCCCTGGGTCAGTGGGGACCTCTAGTTGTCAGAGGTGAGGGACTGGGTGTCAAGCAACAAGGGGGAAGGATAAGACAAGAGCAATGTTTTCTGGTGCCTTAGGGACAGATGGCCTTGTCCCTTCCTAGTGTTCCTCCCTCTCCCCACATGGAAGCCCCAGACTCCCATTTCTCTTACCTCTCCAGGTTCCCTGGAGCACAGAAGTAGCTGCTTCCTGCCTGCCTGCACTCAGCAAAGCACTGGGAAGTGTCGTTCAAGTAGTAGAGATCAGATGGGTCTGGCTTGTTGAGGAGGCTCTGGCAGGGATTTCTTGGCTCTTCTTTTCCTGGCACAGTGGTGGACTTCACTTCACCTAAAGAAGAGGTCACAGTTTATAGGGCCAGAGTCCCAGCTTTAACCACCCACCCCTCTCTAAGCCTCAGTTACCATGCTGAAAGGAAGTATCCTACACACATACATAGGCTGGCAGGTGCTTTGGGGAAAACTTAGTTCTGGAGATAAAAGTTTTTTTCTGCTAGTGCTATTACTCCTTTACTACCTCCAACAAGGAGTCAGCCTGGCTTTTCTGAGCTGTTTCATATTAGAGTCTCATATCAGAGTATGTAATCTTTATAACTGTGGCTACAGCCCTGACAGCTACTGATCCCACAAGTACCTGGCTCATGGTGCCATACACATGAAGTTGAGAACTAAAAGAGGAAGTTAGGAGAGTTTTGATTGGAAATAAGAAGGAGAATAGAATAGCTCCTGGATTTTTAGGAGGGGTCCCAAACAGGTAGCTGCATGGCCACTCTATCTAGAATCACTTATAGGTAAAGCAGGGCACAGGAATTACTTAATAGTTTCATGGTCACCTGTCACAGGTGGCCCTTTGAAGTTAAAGAAATGACGAATTGGAACTTAAGTTCACCATCCCCATTCCTTTACAAAGTGTTTACGGCAAACTGAGATCTTAGAAAGACCTGGTTATTTTGCTCTCTAATTTCCTCAGAACTCAGGAACTTAGTGGGTGGCTATTAGCTCCTTTTTAGGAGGGAGGGGCTGCATTCCACACTGGCTGAGGAATGATCATTTCTTGTCTGAAGTCCTAGTTTGTTATTTATATTTAAATTCCCATTGGTATGGCTGACCACCCAATTCTATCTCTGCTGTTCGCCCTATCTAACAGCCTCACTCATAAACTAACTAAATAAACCATCTTTACATTTTCCTCACTCTGAAGAAGCATCCTTAACTGCTGCTAAGGGAGAACAGAGGATGTTGGAGAAACAACTGCCAGGGATTTTTCTCCAGATGACTAATCTAAGGGGGCTTTGTGTTAGAAGTTCAGCAGTCACAGACTCTTTAAAAGGTTGATCAAGTGAATCATGGTAAGAGCGTGGCACAATCATCATTGGCCCTATCTGTGTGACCATTTGGAGTTTGACAATCTCTAGGTGAGGAGAAACAAATTTTATGAAGAGGTTAATGCACACCCCCCAAAAATTACATTGTAAATTAAATGCAACTTTTGTCAAAAATGCGTGACTTAAACAAGAACCTGAATGAAAAGGAAAATTGGATGAAGGGGTAAGGTTTAGATAAGATCTTTAAGGGAGTGGAATAGAGATGGTAACCAGCAGGGTCCTAGTTTGTTTACAGAGGTTATCTATAAGTCTAACCTTTCTTTTATTGCTTTAAAAAATTTTAAACCTGATCTGAATTGTTTAAAAGACACAAGGTTTTATTAGTGCACAAATCCCTCCAGTTTTTGCTGTAGGAAGATGGAGAGCTCTAATTTTAGCTAAGAAATTTAAAGACTGTTGTTGAGCTTTTATAGATGTTACTGTGGCTTTCCAGCCTGGTTAAATCATAAGAGTGGTTAAGTAAAGGTGTCGCTGGCAATTCCACCCGTGGCCAGTGCAGTTATCGGAGCCCCCTTTCCTGACTAACCTATTATTATTATTACCGGTTTATTCATCTTTTGGTTATCTCTTCCTCTGGCTGCTTAAGACCAAGTTAAAGTGAGATCTGTGCTAATCAAAATTAACTTCTCACTATCAAGGTCAGTTAAGGCTCCTCAGGTGTTATTTCTGGAACCCTGTACAGAGCCTCACAGCACCTCTGTCGGCGTCATCTGCCAGAAAGGGTCATGGTCTTGCTTGACCATTTGGCCTCCTGCGGAAGCATGGGAGACATTCCTTTCTTTAGTGACCCTCCTCTTGGCACAACTGTACATTGGTTGACTCCTGTCCTCTGGGGTCCAACAGTCTCCCTGCTCAGGAGGTTGGGCGACTCACCAGAGCTGTAGGATCCTATAGAAAGTTGTCCTTATATCCAGGGTCCTCGCTGATCTTAAAGGACCAGTGCCAAAATATTGGCTGTCTTCTTAACCCAGTTACCTTTTAGCTTTATCTCCAAACCTTAATTGTTGAACACTGGGAAGTTTAGTTATACCAGTATTGTAGCGGGAGCAGTAGATTTAACTATTTTATCTAGATATTAAGCACCTTGCCAGGGATTTAGCTCAGCGACATCACACCTGCCTTGCAAGCACAAGGTTCTGAGTTAGATCCCCCACACCAAAAAGAAAAAGAAAAAGAAAAAGAAACTAGATATCAAGCACCTTGAAATATAAAGCATGACCAGAGAACTTATTTTTTACCAATTGGTTGTCTTAGGAGTCTAATTTCTGTAAATGCTAACAGATAACAATTTTAAAGTTTTATAGAGAAAATTTGAGATAAAGAGAAACATTGCATTTTAGCATGACAGTTATGATGACATTATTATATTTATTTGAACAATTAGTTTTCTTTATCATATTGAGTTTATTGGTGCTTTTTAAGTATACAGTACAGTTACATTCATCATTGGGATCTTGTACCTTTACATGACAGATCTCAGTTCTCATTTTTTCCCCTTACCCCTGCCCTCCCTTCACCCCCTCCACCCTTCCCTATTTACAAAGACTTTGTTTCCATTTTTTCTTTTTCTCATATTTTTTCTTGTGCCTTATTTCCTTTTCCCTACCCTTCCCACTGAACAATTAGGTTTTGTTATTATCTCTGAAACATGTTTAAATTTCCATTCTAGCATAAAATAACTTTTTAGCCAGTTATCTTTAATTATAAAATATTAAATGACATAAAGAAACTTTTACCTAAATTTCTTCCCCCTCCGCCCCACTAGCCATTGAACTCACAACCTTGCACTTGCAAGGCAGGGGTGGTGCCACTGATTTAAATCTCCAGCCCAAAATTTGTTATTTTTAATAGAGTATTGTTTAAGTAAAATATATTTGTTTATAGAATATAGGTTATTAATGCCCAATCTCTAACTATTGGAGTGACATTGTCTAATGACATTTTCTGCACAGTGTTTAAGTATCTTTAACTCTTGTAACAGTTACTGTATATAACAATTACACAAGCATGAAAATCTATCCACATTATCTGACTGGCTGTCTCATATTGGATTGGCATGCACACTGTATCACAAGCAGCTGGAAAACAAGTAAGGGAAAGCGAGTAGCTGAAGCCTGAAGAAACTTACCACCATAAATAACTTTAGCCAGGAAGTCATTAGTCTAATAAGGTTTTTTCAATTTTGCATCTTTGAAGGTCTGTACACTTAATACATTTGGAAAACACAAATACACTTAATATATCATGAGGTTAGTACTAATTAGCATCATAGCTATATAGGTATCTTTACATATATTTACATGATTTTTTAAATTTTAAGCAAAATTTTGACTCTTTTAATAGGTTTATGGTGTGTAACTTTACTGACAGGAATTGAAGGACATCTTTAGAGCTCTTGTAAACTAGGAAGTGATGTCTGGACATGGTGGTGTGTGCCTGTAATCTCAGCACTAGGCAGGATGAGGCAGAAGGATCAGCATGAGTTCAAGGCCAGCTTGGGCTAAATAGTGAATTCAAGGCCATCCTGAATTACACAGTGAGATTCTGTCTCAAAAAACAAAATGAAACAAAACAAAAATTTAGACAGTGGTGTTGATAACTATGAATAGACTTTATTACCCAACATGTATGTATTTTATTTATATAATAGCAAAATGTTTATTCAATCAAAGCCAATAGATATAGACCAAATTGTAAATGGCAGGATAAAATTTAAAGAAAAGCCAAATTTTAATCATTTTATATGTCTAAGGTATACATGTACATTATATAAAAGAGAGCATCTATTAGTTACTTTGAATCTATTGATCTTGGTAACTTTAATTTTATAAGTTTAACTTCAAAGCTCATAATCACCACATAGTTTGCTTTTAGATGTATCTCTAGTCCCCGATATACTGGTTGTGTTATAAATTAAGATAATAATTGTTTATTTAACCAATCATAAACTGATTATTGAAAACATTTTATGGGCCAATACTTAAGCTTTAACTCTTAAAGCTCAGTTTTTAGTAACCCAAAGCCTAACAATGGAAAACACAAGAAAAACTATCTTAGTAAAATATAGAAACTTTGCCTTTGAATCTAGCTTTGTAAGTTTAACCAATGGCATCTCAATATCTTAAGAAAACCTAATTGTCTTAGACAGAGAAAGCATAAATTTTTTTTTTTTTTTGGTACCAGGGATCGAACTTGGGTCCTTGTGCTTGAGAGGCATGCGGCACAACCACTGAGCTAAATCCCCAGCCCCTATAAACTTTTAATCATGGCCAACTTAGTTATATATAATATATAATTTTAAGGACATTTTTGGAGTGGGGCTCCATGAGACTCCAGGGGCAAACTGGGCAAACTGTACCCATCAGTGGAGAAAAACTGATAGGCTGGGGATTTAGTTCAGGGGTGTCACTGCCTGCCTCACAAGCGCAAGGTCCTGAGTTCAATCCCCGGTACCAAAAAAAAAAAAGTAGAGAAAAACTGAAGCAAACTGGCTCAGCCAATTGCTTTTTTCAGCACAGAGGGGAGTTTGGATCAGTAATTCCTCAGTAAGGCGTCCCCAACTTAGTTATGGTAACAATTACACTAGATGACTCATCCTATTAAACCCCACCACCACCAGTGATCAAACTAAGGACCTTGCACTTGTGAGGCAGGCACATTGCCACTGAGCTAAATCCCAGGCTCTAGAGTTAACACTTTTAAAGCTAACTCAATCAACTATCTCTTACACTACTTCCTGCAGTATGTAGAGAATACAGCAAACTAAGGCTGTATCTTCTCATCAGCAAAGAAGAGCTGATAGATAATATCTTCCTTTTAGCGGAATATTAGAGATAATACACACAAAGGAAATGGCCCATCAGTCTATTATCTATTCCAGGAGGTGAGAATTTTATTCTAAGACATAGGCATGTATTGGTGTGTGTTTGTGTCTGCGCATCTCTCTCTCTCTCTCTCTCTCTCTCTCTCCAAAGATCATGCCACGCAAGGCAGCCAGCGCATCAGTGACACAGGCAGTACAAGCAGTTTACCAACAGGCAAGGAATTCATTTTGGTCAGGGCACACTTTCAAGAGAGACAGTGGGTGAGTTTCCAAGAGAGGAATTGCACCTTTAGGGTGAGAGATTGGGGTTTTGTAAGGGTTTGAGGATGTGGAAAGAGGATCTGGGCAGCAAATGTGATTATCTAGAGAATGTCTTTCCTGAATCATTGAGTGCCTTGTAGTTCTTCTGGGGAGAACCTGTATTTTTAAAAAATTATATGTTACAGTTGCAGTTTTGACAAGACCATTTCTTCTGGTTAACAGAAGGCCTTTGGCTTTAGGCAAGGAGTCTGTACTCACCAGGAGGAGCGAATGTCCTTTACCTCAGAGGTTTTTTTCTATCAGTGTTGCTATCTTTTATCAGTACTGCTAATCTCTTAACGGAGCCTGCTGTTAAGGGTTTTAAACCTTACACTTCAGTGAGTAGCCAATACATGTAATACATGCACAGAGTTAAAAAAACCTAAGCCAGTGATGGCAAATCTTTCAAAACTTTCAGTGATAACAAACAGCACAAATGCCATAGATTCACCACCACTGATAAACTACACATCATGAAAAAGTAAAAGTCACTTTTCTTGCAGATCCTACCCTATACCCCAGAGTTTACCACTCTTAAATTTTCTATGCATATATTAAAAGAAAATTTCTTGAGACATGGTCTTGCTAAATTTTCCAGGCTGGCCTAGAATTTGTGATCCTCTTGCCTCAGCCTACTGAGTAGCTGGGATCATAGGAGTGTGGCACTATGCTCAGCTGTATGCAGATCCTTTTTTTGTTTTGTTTTATTTTGTTTGTTTTTGAGACAGGGTCTTACTTTGTAGTGCAAGCTGGCCTTAAACTCACTGTGTAGCCCAGTCTGGTCTAGATCTCATGGTGATCCTCCTGCCTCAGCCTGCCCAGTGCTGGGATTACTGTATGGAGATGAATTAAAAATGTATACAAATGAAATAATTCATTTGATATATCTTGAAGAGATTTTCACCTTATTTTTTATATAGTTGTGAGGTAGGATAGAAAAATAAAAGAGAAAAGACACAAGGAATCATAACTAAAAATTGTACTTTGTACGAAGACTGCAACTTCTGGGACTTATCTGAAGTCACCTAAGCTACTTCTAGCTTGTGAAGGTATTTATGATGTGTTGATTGTTGGGGAAAAGGTAGGTGCTAGAGGAGCAGTCCGTGATGGATATGTGGTTGCATTTTAAGTAAAAGGGAGAGAATTGGAAAGGAGGAGGAAAGAAAAAGAAAGACGGAAGAGGGAAGGGGAGGAGGGTGGAGTTAAAGTTGTTGCCTCAAGGGGAGACGACATTTCTCCCAACCCCACTGTCTGCCCCAGGGGTTATGGACAGGTGCAGGGCACGGGATGGCTGAGACCAGAGCTTCCCTCCTGTTCTCCCGCCCTGCTGCCCTCCCATCCTGCCCTGCATTTCACAACTCACTGACAGGAAGCTTTTGGCAAGAACCCGTGCAGAGCAGCACAGACAAAATTGCATCTGGCCCAGCCAAGTAGATTCTGAACTGGTACTGAGTGTGGGAAGAGGCCACCTCAGCCCTCCAGACACCACCACCTTCACCCACCACTCTCCCTGCTCAGCGTCCCATATGGGCTCAGCTGTGGGCAGTAGACTGGAGCCAGGGGGCAGGAGGCAGACAGAGCAGGCATTTGACAACCCTTCTTCTACACACATCAGCAGCCATTTTTCCTTCCTTCCCAACTCTCCCATGCTCCTCAGTCTCAAGAGTACTGAGATCTTCCCTCAGGCAAACTATCTTTTCTTTTTTTCTTTTTGCATTGTTGTTTCCTTTTCCCAGTCCACACCTTTGAAAAGTGCCCTTCCCCCTACCTGTTTTTGGTGGCCTGGGGATTAAGCCCAGGGCTTTCATACTAACCTACATCCTTGGCCCATGTTATTTATTTATTTATTTATTTTTAAAAGTTTTGACAGGATCTCTAGGTCATGAAACTAAGTTGTCCAGGCTGGGCTGGAATTGTGATCATCCTCCCTCAGCCTCCTAGAATGCTGGGATTACAGGTGTATGACCCTGCACCCACCAGCTTGTAAAGCTGCCCTTCATGAAAGCCACATTGCCTATGGGGGCATACATCTGTCCCCTGCTCGGTCCTAACAGCCCAGTCCCCAGATGCTGATTCCTGTCACTCCTTGAGACTGAAGCAGCTCTCACTCAGCTGGACTGGGGCCCCTTGGGGCAGGGACGACGTGGTTCTGAGGTAAGATAGAAGAAATAAATGATAGATGGAAAGGAGACAAGGAAATTGGAATTTTAAAACTGTACCATACTTGGGCCAGGGATTTAGCTCAGTGGTGCCGCCTGCCTTGCAAGCACAAGGTCCTGAGTTTGATCCCCAGTACAAAAACAAGCAAATCTACAGCTTTAGCCCATCAAAGTTACTCTGCAAACTTTTCCCTTCTAGGAAACACATTTTTAAAAAATCCTAAAGGTCTTAGAGACACAATAAGCCTGTAAGTTGGGCTCTGGACCTGTCCTTTTCCTCTGTGAACGGCCCTTCCTCCACCCTCGAGGAAGCAGCAGTATTAGTGGGCAGCAAATCTCGACCTGAAACACAGTGAAGTGGCTTGCGCTCTGACATAGCCTGCCAGACAGTAACTGACACACAGTAGGGACACACATCAGAGGTCACCCGTCCTGAGACACTCCCAGGACCCCGGAGATGTATTCGGCTCCAGCTCACAATGTGCCTCTCTCTCTTGAGGGCTGGCACTCTATGTTTTGAGTGTGGACTAAAATCTCTGCCTGGTAAACCCTTCCTGTGCCTCTTACTAACTGGTCCTGAAAACTCTTTTTCCACAGTGGGAGTCGGGCAGCCTCTAACAATCTATATTCAGGGTAGGTTAAGCTACTCACCTCAGCTTTGGGTACCTTCTTAGACCATTCGGGTGGCAGTACCAACACAGGGCCTGGCACAGCGCAGAGGACCCCCCCCTGGGCTTCTCAGAGGAACGAATAAGGAACGAGTAGATGAATGGGGGAAGGAGTGCGTGGATGATCAGTGGACAGGCAAATGGAGCAACACCCACAACTGCAGGGTCCACCTCTAGATGTGAACCCTCCAGGCTTCACGTGTCCTTCAGATGGCTGTGGCCTTGCCCTGCCCGAGTGTGCACACCATTCAGGGACGTACCAATGGGTAACAGCTCTTGTGAAGGCCCCGAGCCCTGATGGGGCCCCTGGTACCTGGTCACGGCCACCACCAGTGATTTAGATATCATTTCATCCAGGGTTGCCTGTACCTGTCCCCGCCCAGCACTTGAACAGCACCTCCATTTTTTGCCCTGTTTTGAGCCAGAAACTGAACTTCACCCATCACTGAATCTCCCAGCATTTGAAGAGTCCTTTGAAGCCTAAAGAGGTTGATCCCTGTGGCCAGTGTCACACGGCCAGATGCAGGACAGACACCAGGGAGACATGCAAGTCATTTGCTGAAGCTAGGGCAAACCAGAGGAGCCCACCAGGAGCTCAGATGTGAACGAACACCAGGGAGGGGACAGAAGAGCTGCTGATGAGCCCCCGAGAAAGGCCAGATGGTGAGGGATGTCAAGGGGCTGTCCTGGGAGAGAGGGCAGCAAGGGCAAGGAAGACCTTCAGCTGCCTCCAGAGACAGTGTGTCTGGGAGGGAGGAGGGCGGGAGGTTCTGGATCCTGGCCCTTGTCACTGAGGACAGTGGTGCTGTGGCAAGATGTGGACATGTGAGTGGAGTGGGTGCAAGCCCTGTCCAGTCTCAGCTTCCAGAGAATCCAGTCGTCTTCCCTAGGAGCCCAGAGAGCTCCTGAGTAGCTTGCCCCAGCCCACCCATACCCCAGAGCCAGGTCTGTCAAGAAGCTACATCTGGGATGAGGGAGCCTCCTCCACCATCCAGTCTACATGGCAGTATGGGGGCCTGAGACACACTGACGAGGTTCACCAGGACCGCAAGACTGGCCCAGAGAGACAAGGCTGGAGGAGAGGTGGTCATGACATCAGAGGCGGTCATGGTGGACACATCTCAGACCACCCAGCTCCTCATCCTTCTGCCCTACCCCTGCCTGCCCTAGGATCTCTGTCTGCCCTGCCCTGGGCCCATCTTTGGCACAGGGTCTCCCAGGCTTTGCAGAAGGGGCAGAGGTACCAGCACTTACTTGAGGATAGGAGCAAGAGGAGCAGGGCCCACAGGACCCTGGGTGTCTCCATCCGTGGCAGGCAGAGCCCTGTGGCCAGCAGGTCCTCTGTTCCTGAGCTCTGTTCAGCAGCCTGTTTTCCCCCTGCCCTCTCCACACCTCTTCCTGTGGCTTCTTTCTTCCTGCTCGGTGGTGCCATCAGTTGGGTTGTGAAAGATAAGTGTGGGGAACTGGGCGGGTTCTGAGCCTCATCCACCAGAGACCATCTGTAGAGGGAGCTAGGCTGAGCCCCACAGGGACCCTCCCACAGCCATTTCCTCTCACAAGCTGGGGGCCTCTCTAACCCTCATTTCTTTCTGTACAGACCAGCGACAGTAACAGGCTGCCTCCTGGGACTCTTCTGGGATTTGAAGACCTTTAACAAGCCTGATACAGCCTGGCTACAAGGATGAGGTCAAGGATTTGGATGTCACCTGGTTTGAATGCAGCCAGACTCAAGCTCATACCTGCTGGGGCCAGAAAGAGAGAGGAGCCAGCCTCCCCTTCAAACTGGATAACAGGAAGCCCAGAGAGGCAGGATGGAGGGCCAGAAGCCTGGGCCCTGGCAGGTAATTGGGCCTGGCTGACGTCTATCTTGGCCACTTCCTGGCTGATGACCCTTACACAGCATGGGACAGACCAAGAGGTGATGCCTGGGGAGCTGTGGGGAGTGGCTGTGGTCACTGTCATTTAATGACGATCTGTATTGTGAAATTACCCTGTTGGTCACTGCAGGCCCCACAGGCAGGAAGCAGGGACAGCAGATACACATGAGCTTTGTTAGGAGGAAAGGGTGCGGCCGCCAAGTTGGGCTCCCGTTATGCAGGCCCCAAGGAAGCCTGAATGTGGCCAGGACCTTGCTGTGTTCTGTGGCCACTTGGAGATCAGAAGGAGAAGGGCATCTCACTAAGAAGGTGCACGGTCACCAGCATCCCCCTCAAACCTACAGGCCAGAGCCAGCCGCTCCGCCTCAGAGGCTAGTGGGGGAGTCACCAGCCTCCCCACTGGCCTGTTTCCCCTTCCTCCCACACAGTTTTCTATGTGGATAACATATGTGGATATGTTTTTCTCTTCTGCAGTTTTCTATGTGGATGACTTTAATTTCTTTTTCTTGCTTCATTGCTCGGACTTGTATTTCCAGCACCAGTGCATTTCCAGCACTCAGTGCTTTTCCAGCACTGAGTAGCAGTGTTGACGGTGAGTATCCTTGTCTTGTTTCTCACCTTAAAGGCTTTCAGCTTTTCACCGGGGGATGACAGCTGTGGGCTTATGACAATGACCTTTGTTGTGTTGACTTACATTCTGTACTACTCGATTTGCTTAGAGCATTTAGCATAAAAAGATGCATAACGTGAGCGCGAGTTCCTTCTGCAGTCAGGTGACATGACCCTGAGGTGTGTACGTCTTAATTCTGTTAATGCATGGCATCGCGTTTCCGCCTTAAATGTAATCAGACATGGCTGGCATCACAGGGAGAAACTCCACACTATCATGCAAATGGTTCTGACAATATACTGCCGAGTTTAGCTTGTGAGTATTGGGTTTAGAATTGATATGGTTGTGAGAGATGTTGGCTTATAATTTCCCTGTACACCCTGGTCTGGCTTTGGTACCAGGGTATAGTGTGCCTCTAAAAGACATTGGGAAATACTTTCTTCTCCCCAATTTTGAGAAGGTGTGGAAAGTGCTTGATCTAGCATACACAATAAACACTTAGGCGTTTTCCCTGCTGACATGCTGTGGCTGTGTTCTTAGGATTTAACGGATCTGTCGTGAGGAAACATCACGAATGTGGAAACACTGCGAGGAGAGGGTGACACCTGTAGCACGAGAGGACTGGAAGCTGAATTCTAAAAGCCAGGCAAGAAAGCGCAGGAGAGAGTCAGACAGACGCCACCTGGGCACCTCCCCGATGAGGCGTCATCACAGAACATCACGGGCGAATAGCAGGAAGCTCCACATAACTTGTTTCAGTGCAGGATTTACAACTGCCTCAAGCTGTACAGATATCTCATGACTGTGGTGTAGATGGGGGGATGGAGAGATGGACAGATAGATTCTCAAATTTAATAGCAGAAAATGAAATACATTCAACGATCTCAACTGACCTGACCTCAAGGAACCCACAGACTATTGACCTATAGTGAAAAAATCACAGAAAAGACTAAAACACAATGCATAACCAACCTATCTATATTAATTTGAGTAAAAACACTGAGAAATACAAGAAGCTTAGAGAAGTTAAAGATATGCGAAAAAGAGAAAGGCACTGGATGTGCAAATCAAATTAGTGACAACGGGGCCTTGAGGAGCAGAGCAGCGAGGCGCCCCACCCTGTTCCCAGGCCGGTCAGAGTGGAGCTGGAAGTGAGTTCTCCGTCTCTGGAGCTCACAGCCCAGACTTCCCCGAGTGCTGAGTCTGCCTGGCCCTGAGAGCTCGGGCAGTCAGTGGTTCCTGAGATTCATGATGAAATCTTCCTGTTCCTGAGTGTGCTGTTGTCCCGCCACTGTCGGGGCTCCAGAAGGCAGGACAGGCTGTAGCTGAGGACAGAGAGGAACCTGTGAGCCCATGGAGAGCCTCACCTCAAGTCTCCCTACCAGGGCCTGCCCAGCAGCCCGAGTCCCGGTGCCCCAGCAGTCACCATGCTGCAGGGTGTGTGGACGACGATGGAGCTGTGGCCACGGGCTCTCTGCAGCTGTGAGCCAGGGACAGCCTCCCCACCCCTGGGCTTTCACACGAGTCCTGCCTGGTGCTCACCTTTCGTTCTCACTGAGCCACTCCCTCGAGTGGAACCAGACCTCAACCTTCTCCTCACGCTGAAAATTATATTTACTCGCTGCCACCTGGAACAGCTGTATCTCCTGGAGAACTTTGGCTTCCTGGGGCGAGAGGAACAGACGGCGGGGTACTGAGAGGGCTTGCACCGGAAATGAGGTGAGGGCTGTGATCAATGCAGGAAGAGTCCAGGGCTGGTCTACAGGGTGATTTTCTTAATTGTCCCTGATCTTCTCAATCCCGCCCGATCTCTAAACCGCTCTCAGAGTTGGGTGCAGACAACCCCATGTCCAGCTGGCTGTACATGTGTCCAGTCTCCTAAGCACACACCTCATTGGGATGGTTTTCATCTTTCTGTGTTTACAAAACCCTCCCAATGGAGCAAAGATGCAGAGGGTGAAGCCAGGGAATGTCCTGCCAGGAGGAATTCTGCCTTCCTGCCCTCGTGGAACTGCGGGACACAGCTGCTTACCTTTGTAATTTTCTCAAAGTTGACGAGATTCCCCTGCAAGGCAGATAGCAAGAGTGCATGAGAAAGACCGAACCGTGACTAGCCAGCCCTTTTCCACCCTTGGATATGGTGGAATCATGGCAGGGCCCACTAGCATCGGGAGTGCACAGAGGAGGGCGAGGTCCCCAGTCAGGTTTGGGCGCTGGAGAGGACGCCCATGGGAGCTGAGGCTCCCATCAAGTGCCCGTTGATGTCAGACCGGAAATTGTGGCCTCGCAGAGGAAGGGAGTACTGGCCCTGTAGGTGCTTCCTGGCCTTGGGGTCTCCACTTGTCTCTCCTCCCTTGGCCACCATCTGAAGGAGAGGCTGAGTCCAGCTCAGCAAGGCCCTGTGCAGCTTTGCAGGAAGGCAGCTCTGCCGCTTCAGGACTTGGAAAAGAGGGATTTGGGGGCACTGCAGGGTCCTTCATTCCCAGGCAAGACAGACCTGAAGGCTCCAGCACACAGGGCAGTTGTGAGGATCTCAAGAGTAGGTTTGCTGAGTGCCAGCGCCTACGGGTTCAGCACAAGGGCCTTCCCTTCCAAGCCCCAGGATCCTGTCCCCAAACTGCTTCCCCGAGGGCCACTCATGTCCACGTGGTCCTTCATCGCAGTGTCCAGCATCACCAGCTCAGTGAGGAATGTGGCAAGGAAGGGGATGGTGCCCTGTGCCATGGGTGGTACAGATGATGAGTCCCCTGCCCAGCTCCCAGTCAGGCCCCCTGACATTTCACACAGGTGTCTCCTGTCCCCCTCTGGGACACCAAACTAAGCCCTTCCAATTCTCTCACTCCTGCCTTCCTGCCTGGCTTCCTAGGACACCAAACACCGCTACTTACCTCACGGTACTTGATTTCCTTTTATGATACCGAGGGTTGAAACTAGGGCCTTTGCACCAAGCCACTGGCCCAACCTTCTCTTATCTTTCACCTAGGGACAGGGCCCTGCTAAGTCATCGATTTGTGTAAACTGGGCTTGAACTCGTGATCCTTGTGCCCCAGCCTCCCAGAGTGCTGGGATGGCGGGCATGTGCCACCATAACTAACGTGGCTCCCCTGATGGTGTGCCCATCTCCACCTCTAGCCCGTATCTGCTCTGTGTGCAGCTCCTCCAAGTCTTCCTCTGGCCTCTCCAATGGAGGCACCTCCAGCAAAGCAGAGAAAGGCTGGAGGAGGAAGGCACCCTGCACTCTCTGGGGAATGTCCTGGGAGGACGGGAGTCTCTCCTGTCCTCTGACTCCCAGAACCCTCCCTGCCACCGAACACTCACCTTGCCCTTCTGCTGCTGCACCATCTGTGCTCTGTGGGGGTTGTTCTCCAGGGTGGCCTTCTTGGAGAGTCCCTCCTGCCAGGTCAGACAGGGTGGTTGAGAATTTTCTCCCCTTATATAACTGTCTCCCTGAGCGGAGACCCTGCATATCTGGCTCCTGTCCGCTTGTATAGCTCTGTTGCCACTCGAATATGCTTGCAGATTCATTCCCAGCGCCCATGCTCCCTTGGTTAGTCGCTCTGGGTATGGGGCCTGGCAACCCTGAATGCGCTTCCTGGGCTCGACGTACACCTGCCTCACAGCATCTCCTGAGGGCTCCGTTTTATATAATTATTGTTCTCATCTTCACCACTCTGGGGAACATCCCGGAGAAAGCGCCCCAACTCTTGGTCCTTGCCACACTGTGCTGCCTGAACAGTTCACTTATTTTTCCCCTCTCTAGGTGATGAGGTTAGTCAGTGACTTTCCTAGAGCAGTATGAGAGAAGCCAGCTCCTCTTGCCAGCTGGAAGTAAAGTCTCAGCTTCTTTCAGCCCACGTCCCAGCACCACCCCTGACCACTGTCCCATGCTCGGGCCCTTGATGAGTGTCCAGGCCCATGCACCGTGGAATGGAGCAGTGAGCCTCAGACGGCATGTTTGAGAAGCTCCCGCCTGTGCCAGACCACCTGCAGTCGCTGCCCCACAGCTAGACTGGAGGCCATGCCCAACTTCACCTCCTCCTGTGAGTCCCCCAAAGGAGTCCTTTAGACAGAGCCTCTGCTGGGCCATGTAGAATATGGCCTCCCAAGGTGTCAGCTCCGAGGGACATGGCATAATTCCTTGGGAAACAGAATCTGAGATCTGATCAGTGAGGATCCACCACTGAATTCCCGAGTCCCCAAGGTAGTTCTCATATCTATCGGGAGACAGTGTTGCTGCCCACTGGGCACTGAAGAAGGAATCTGAAGACCCATTGTGTGCTCAGAGGAGCAGAGGGGAAGGACAGCACACCCACGAATCAGTCCCAAGTGTACCCACTGGGACAGGAGCTGAGCTGCCCTTGGAACACCTGTCCCAACAGGATTTCTCCATCGCAGTCAGGGTGCTCCCTTGTGTCAGAGGTAGAGTGAAGACTGAAGAGGCACAGGCCCTGATTTCCTAAAACATTCTGGGGCTTAAGTGCTGGAGTAAGGAAGCCTTAGCACAGCCTCCCAAGTGCATGGGGGAAGCTACTTTCCAGCAGCAGGGACCAGCATGGCAGCCAGAGACCTGCTGATCCTGGACGCTCATGAACCCTTCCTGAAGAGCCCAGTGACATCCCTTAAGCCTCGTGTGCTCCCAAGCCTTCAGCCCCGTGAAGCAGAAATACAGCCATTCCTATGATTCCAGAAGGCACAACTGGAATTTCTCAAGCTTTCAGTGAGGAAAACAACCACATCTGGCACAGAATCTCTTCCAAATTCACCCCTTTCTCTCTGCTTCAAACACTTTCAGCCCCCATCCCAGCCTCCAATTTACCTTTGTGAGCAGATTCCTGCTCTCTGCACTGTCCTTGGCACACAACTCTTGGAAATTTAGGAAGCTTTTCCTGTTTGAGAGGGGGAAACAGTGAGGAGGAGTTGCAGAATAATAGGAGGTGTGAGTTCAAATTCATTTTATTTGAGAACCTAAAGGACACAGACTGCCCGAGTGAGCGTTTCGAACTGGGATCCATTAGCACGTAAGGGAGTCGCCGGACCGGGACAGGACCTTGCATTTGACCCCCTGGGCCTCCTCCCCGTTTCAGTTGATTGGCAGTTTTGGCAGTTTTGGCAGTTATGGATTCAGTTCTGTTGTTGTCTAGTGTTCACTTACAGACTCGTGTAGAGCTGTGCCTGGCGGTGAAGTAACTGCTATGGCTGGTGTCTAGATGTCCCCTCAAAGCCCCATGTGGTCATAGGTCAGGCTTCTGAGAGGTGGCTGGATCGAGAGTGTGTCATGCTGGAATCAGTGGAGTGTGCCTACTACATTAGTCCGCTCACGGGTTGGCTCACTTGTGGGTGTGCGTAATGGGAAGGCCCACCCTGGCTGAGTGTTGCCCTCCCGAATGGCATGTACCCGGGACAGAGTACGAGCGACAGGAAGAGGGCTGCTGTTGCTTGCTGCTTGCTGCTGCATCCTCGCTTCTCTGCTGGTTTGTTTTCTTTGGCCTGCCCTGCCCTGCCCTGCCATCTGCTGTTTCTCCTCTTCAGTGCTCCTCTGCCATTCTCCCTGCCTGGAGCCTGCCAACTTGAGACTGACTCTGCATACTCTGCGGCAAATTAAACCTTTCCTACTTGAACTTGGGGCATCGGGTATTTTGTCTCAGCAAAGAGAAAAGGCAATGACCTGAGACAGAAACCCTGGCCTGAGAAGGCAGGGAAGCTTAGGCATCCCACCTACAAGGCCACTACGACCCTCTGTTTTCTTGGCTTCCCAGCCCCTCCGGGGTCCTGTAGGAGGTAGAGTCAGATCTATGATGATAGAATGGCCCTAGTGTGCCCTGGTGTCTGCATGGAGAAAGCCAGGCTCACCTGGGTACTTCTCCCCAGGTCCTGCTCAGCTGATGTACCGGTGTGCTCCGCAGAGCAGAGATGATGGCATGCAGTGAGGAGAAGTTCCTGAGCCTTAGGCACTCCTAGGAAAGAAGGAAGGAAATCTTGTGTGGAGGGAGGGGCAATATGG